CCGGATGATCCCGCACACTCTCGACGGCCCCCCATTTCATACTGTGCTCGGGGGTCAGGCAATTGAACTCCTGTTCCGTCGTTGTCTTATACGTGGCGTCAGTGGTCAGGTATTTCGAGGCGAATGCAGTTCCGATGTATATCTGTTTGGTTTTGTCCTTCAAATGGGCGATATTTGGGCTAAAATTAAATATATTTAAATAATATTGAATTAGTTATGTTTAAAAAAAATATTTTTATTGAAAGTCTTACACAAACAAAAAAGTCAATAAAAATGTTCGCTTTATTAATGTATTCATTGTGCTCTCAAAAAATCAATAAAATTGAACTGGCTGTTTTTTGTTTTTAACAAACTATTTTACTTAATTGATAAGTTATTAAAAAATATAATTCCAAATAAAGCTATCATAATTAAATAGATTAATAGGTGCTATTTGAACCCGGATTCAATTGATTTGATAAACCTAACTAATTAGATTATAAATACTATAAGTATGCCTAAACTGAATGTTTAATATACTGTAAAGTATGAAATCAATTAATAATGAAGTGTTTCAAATGATCTACAGTGTATTCATTTGACAATTAAATTATAAAATAAATGTTATTTTAGAAATTTCTAGTCAACAATGAATCCGAAATGACTACTATAATTTGTGTCCACTGATATGTATGATTAACTATAATTTTTAATTCACTAATTTAAGTAAATATATTTTTTATTTTCTTAATAACCACTATCCCGGTGCCACACACAAGCTTATAGATTCATAAGTTCAGGAATAGTGATCTACAGTGTTAATGTTCAACAATAGTCACTAATTATAAGACTATTATTTTAAACGTGAGTCCAATTGTACACAAATGTTGAGTATAATATTGATAAATAATATTTTTGATAGATAATGAAAACTTTGCTAACAATTTAAAGGTTTATTTCCTATTCTACATAATTGTATCAAATTTTAAATCTAAATGTTAAGGTTATATGCCATCTATTAATTGCTATATTTCCCACATAACTATTGATTATAAAGTCCTTTATTGACTTATTCATTTTATTTCGTAACATATCAGTGCTTTTTATTGATTAAACTCACTAAAGTGGTATTACTTTCAATTAAAAACTTATTTAACTTTTTTTTATAAAATAACTTTTATATTCATTTTGAATTAGTTGAAAAAAATCAATCAAGTTCATATTTAATATAAAATAATTAATTAATTGCAAATAACAAAGGTGCATTTATTTTAAAACTTTATCGACAGCGTCTACGGCGGGTTTGGGTTCATAATCCTGAGTCCATAACTCCTGTTCCCCATAACCCTTTTCCTTTTCTTCCACCCAAGAGTATTTATCGGTAAAGCCCCAAACGGTTACCCCGACACACCTGTCCACGTTCATACAGGCGCTAAAGGCATGACTATAATCCTGGGCCTGTTTGGCTTTCTTTTCGGCTGAGCCTGGTAACTTATACCGGATATTAAGCTCAGTGATGGCTACATCGAGTCCCAAATCGGCGAAGCGTTTAATATTATCTTGAAAGGTTGAGGGAATTTCATTCTCCCTGAAGTGCCCCTGCAAACCGACCCCATGTACGGGTACTCCCTTACCCTTCAACTCCTTGACCAACGCGTATAAGGCGTCCGACTTTGTGTCAACGGCTTCGAGGCCGTACTCATTGATGTATAGCTTGGCGTTAGGGTCGGCCGCGTGTGCCGTACGGAAGGCCTCCTCAATGAAACTGTAGTTAAAAGTTCGCGAGAATATGCTGTCCCTTAGTTTGCCGGACCCCTCATCGATCACCTCATTGACCACATCCCACGCGTAGATCTTACCTATGATTTGAAATTATATTTTTAGTATTACTTACTTTTAGTTTATAAAACTTTTCATTGAATACCATAAAATAAAAATAAATAATAATTAATTGTAAATAATTTTAAATCATTTTATATAATGCTGGAAAGGTAAGGCTAATATTATTACCTGTACTAACATTTTGTGTTAAATTTAGCAACACTTTAAAAATAAATTAAAATAAATAAATAATTTTTTAAATCATACCTTTGAAATGTGCTGCCACTGTATTAATATGGTCCTTGATCACTTGCTCGAGCTCAGCCTTTTTGCCCTCCAGTTCCGCAATCCATTCGGGCAACTGTTCGTGCCATATGAGGGCAGTTCCCCTGATCTTCATATTGTGTTGCTCTGCATATGCGACCAATTTGTCGGCGTTTCCCCAGTTGTACTGCCCTTTGCTGGCCTCCAGAGACCCCCATTTCATCTCATTCTCGGGTGTCATGCAATTGAACTCCTGGCCCAGTATTTCCAGGTATTTCTGGTCGCTTAGGGCTTCGGACCTAAACGCCGATCCGATGTACTTCTGTTTTGCATGATCTCGGAGGTGACCCTCGCCCGAGCTGCCGGTGCCCAACATATTAATGAAAAATAAGATTTAATATCAAAAAATATAAGTTATGTAAAAATATTTGCGAAATACTTACACAATCAATACCGCGACTAAAATTATTGACGTTAACAGCATTTTCGTGTGCTTTATATTAATATAATATACAGTTTATAAAAAAAAGTTAAATGTCTAAAACAATTAGTTAATGAATTGACACAAGTATTAATTGAGCATTTTATGACAGTATGTTTCAATAATTTCTCAGATACTTATTACAGTGTACCAGTATTTTAAACGTGAGTGCAAGTGTACACAAATGTTAAGTATAATATTGATAAATAAATAATATATTTGATAAATATTGAAAACTTTGATTGAAAATATCTCTTAATTAATTAGTTGCTAATCATTTATTAAACAAACCACACTTTTGTTACATTCTAACCCTAAAAATCTTAAGGTTTATTCCCTATTCTACATAATTGTATCAAATGTTAAACCTAAGGTTATATACCATCTACTAATTGCTATATTTCCCAGGTAACTATTGATTATAAACTTTATAAAGTCCTTTCCTTTAAGTTTATTATTAAGTTTTTTACATTTTATATGAGTGCTTTTTATTGATTAAATTCACAAAAGTGACATTACTTTCAATAACAAACAAAATTACTTAACTTTTTTTAATGAAATAACTGTTATATTAATTTTGAATTATTTCAAAACAAATTTGAAACCAATCGAGTTCATATTTAATATAAAATAATTAATTAATTGCAAATGAAATAGGTTCATTTATTTCAAAACTTTATCGACAGCGTCTACGGCGGGTTTGGGTTTATAATCCTCAGTCCATAAATCCTGTTCCCCATAACCCTTTTCAGCCAACCAAGAGTATTTATCGGTAAAGCCCCAAACGGTTACCCCGACACACCTGTCCACGTTCATACAGGCGCTAAAGGCATGACTATAATCCTGTGCCTGTTTAGCGATCTTATCGGCTGAGCCTGGTAACTTATACCGGATATCAAGCTCAGTGATGGCTACATCGAGTCCCAAATCGGAGAAGCGTTTAAGATTATCTTGAAAGGTTGAGGGAATTTCATTCTCCCTGAAGTGCCCCTGCAAACCGACCCCATTAACGGGCACTCCCTTACCCTTCAACTCCTTGACCAACGCGTATAAGGCGTCTGACGGTTTGTCAATGGCTTCTAAGTTGTATTCATTGATGTATAGCTTGGCGTTAGGGTCGGCCGCGTGTGCCGTACGGAAGGCCTCCTCAATGAAACTGTAGTTCAAAGTTCGCGAGAATATGCTGTCCCTTAGTTCGCCGGACACTTCATCGATCACTTCATTGACGACATCCCACGCGTAGATCTTACCTATGAATTGAAACATATTTTTATTATTAATTACTTTTAGTTTATAAAACTTTTCGTTAAATACCATAAAATATAAATAAATAATAATTCATTATTAAATCATTTTATATAATTTTGAAAAGTAGGACTAATACTAGTTTATCAGTAACAAGTTGAATTTAGTTGAAAGTTAAAAATTAAATTGAAATAAATTAATAAAACAATTTTTATCTAAACCTTTAAAATGTCCAACCACTGTATTAATATGGTCCTTGATCACTTGCTCGAGCTCAGCCTTTTTGCCCTCCAGTTCCGCAATCCATGTGGGCAACTGTTCGTGCCATATGAGGTTATGTCCCCTGATCTTCATATTGTGTTGCTCTGCATATGCGACCAGTTTGTCGGCGGGTCCCCAGTTGTACTGCCCTTTGATGGCCTCCAGAGGCCCCCATTTCATCTCATTCCCGGGTGTCATGCAATTGAACTCCTGGCCCAGTATTTCCAAGTATTTCTGGTCGCTCAGGGTATCGGACTCAAACGCCGATCCGATGTACTTCTGTTTGGCATGATCTCGGAGGTGACCCTCGCCCGAGCTGCCGGTGCGAACATATTCATGAAAAATAAGATTTAATATCAAAAAATATAAGTTATGTAAAAATATTTGTGAAATACTTACACAATAAATACCGTCAATAAAATGATTGACGTGGACAGCATTTTCGTGTGCTTTATATTAATCTAATATACAGTTTATAAAAAAAAAGTTAAATTTCTCAAACAATTAGTTAATGAATTGACACAAGTATTAATTGAGCATTTTATGACAGTATGTTTCAATAATTTCTCAGATACTCATTACAGTATGCTTGTTAAATATCTCAACAACACATTTATATACCAAAATATAGATTAAATATATCTAAAATATATTTGATAACATTGACCATATTTTGTAATAAATTATTAATCAATTAATAAGGAAGTTTTTCAAATTATCTACTGGATTAATGTTCAACAATAGTAACTAATTATAAGATAATTACTGTACCAGTATTTTAAACGTGAGTGCAATTGTACACAAATGTTAGGTATAATATTGATAAATAAATAATATATTTGATAAATGAATTAAAATAAAACAAAAGCAGTCTCACACCTAAATCGTGACTGAGTTCGCATCTTACGACTACTCATATAAAATGTTTATAATTTCACAAATAATCACATTTAGTGTATTTTAAAGGGTAAAAATTAATTTGTGAAGAGAGTGTCATTTTATATGAGTATTCGTAAGATGCGAACTCAGTCACGATTTAGCTGTGAGACTGCTTTTGTTTTATTTTAATTCAAATATTGAAAACTTTGATTGAAAATATCTCTTAATTAACTCTTTGCTAAAATTAATTAAACAAACCACACTTTTATTACATTCTAACCCTAAAAATCTTAAGGTTTATTCCCTATTCTACATAATTGTATCAAATGTTAAATTTAAGGTTATATACCATCTACTAATTGCTATATTTCCCAGGTAACTATTGATTATAAACTTTATAAAGTCCTTTAAGTTTATTATTAAGTTTTTTACATTTTATATGACTGCTTTTTATTGATTAAATTAACAAAAGTGACATTACTTTCAATAACAAACAAAATTACTTAACTTTTTTTTAATGAAATAACTTTTATATTAATTTTGAATTATTTAAAAACAGTTAAATCAAGTGAAGATTTTATACAAAATAATTAATTATTTGCAATTGACAAAGGTGCATTTATTTCAAAACTTTATCGACAGCGTCTACGGCGGGTTTGGGTTTATAATCCTGAGTCCATAACTCTTGTTCCCCATAACCCTTTTCCCATTCTTCCACCCACGAGTGTTTATCGGTAAAGCACCAAACGGTTACCCCGACACACCTGTCCACGTTCATACAGGCGCTGAAAGCATGGCTATAATCCTGGGCCTGTTTGGCAATCTTATCAGCT